CATCCGGGGGGGGCATCAGGCCCTCTGAGCACCCCAGCTCGCCCGGAGGCAGCATCCTCAGGCCAAAGGCCCCGAGCGGGGCCCCCTGCACTCTCCCAGGTGGGAGGGAGGTTGCGGCACCTCACAGAGGTGGAGATGAGGGCGGGCGCTTGGCCTGCGGTCAGAAGGAGACGCGCACGTCCTCCGCTTGACCTTTGGGTCCTCTCCCCCCATGTCAACTCCTCCTGCCTTGGCAGCAGGTTCTGCAGCCGAGGCCAGAGGTTCTCGGGGCTGAGGGATGATGACCTCTGGGCCAATCCTGCCTTCCGGTGACCACTTTGGGCAGTCCTTAAAAAGAAATCATAAAACCCTAAAATGGAAAAATTCCATTCCACATTCTCTATGAATGAGGTCCCAGAGAAGGACTGCCATGTGTGGCTGCCCCATCACCCAAGTCCCGGGCGTGGCCTCCTCCCTCCTCAGGACCTCCCTCTTGGGTTCGGCTTTGGACCCTTTCCCCATCCTCCTGCCCCCCCAACCCTCCCCATGGGATGGTTAGAAGAAGTTATCATATGGCTCGGGGTGGAGTGGGGGGGGAGATGCTGTTTGCTTTCCTGCCTGACCCTCTGCCTCTCTTGAATGAACCCATTGTTTCTCAGACAGACCAAACTTTCCACCACCACCCCCAGGATGGAGGGACGCATTCCTCCCCCCTTCGTTTACTCTCGGCTTGCAATGGTTTTTACAAGGATGTTGCAGCGGCAGCCACAAAGGCCGGCGGGGGGGGCGGAGCCAGGCAGCCCAAAGAGTAGGGCTGATTTAGCCAAGAACCACCGGGCGGCAAGCAAGTGGGGGTGGGGGGTGGGAGAGGGGCAAAGGGGGCGCTTTCTTCTCAGAACAGAAAAAGCACAAGGGCTTCTTACCCACATGACACTCTGCAGGGCCAGGATGGGGGTGTTTGCTGGAAGTTGCAGCCCCCCTCCACCTAAAACTTTTCTCTGCTCTTTTGGGCAAGGCTTAGTCCAGGATGGCAGACGCTGGCTTCACTGCATTTCCTTTTGACCTTTGGGTGGGTTTTTTTTAAAAAAAATATATAAAAGCATTAAAACAAAGCAGGAGATAAGAAGAAAAGAATATTCTCTGGGGTGGAACTAAGAGAAGTTACTTTTCGGACTGCCCAGCTAGCACTGGCAGGAGGGAGGGGAGGGAGGTGATTCGGTCCCAAAAGGAGGCCCCAAGTAAAGGTCCTTCCCAGCCCTCTTCTGGGACTCGCCTCCATCACAAGAAAGGTAGATGAACTCATTATATTTGAGTGAAAGTATTACATTTTAATGCCACTTTAAGAAGATGTCCACGCAGATGGCTCTTCTTGTTAACAGATTAAAGCGCTAACAGATTCTTCTGCTCTTTCTTTCTTTCTTTCTTTCTTTCTTTCTTTCTTTCTTTCTTTCTTTCTTTCTTTCTTTCTTTCTTTCTTTCTCCATAAGGGGTTTTCTGCAGGGAGGGAAAAGAGGGAAGGTTGAAGTCCTGTGAAGCCCCCTTGAAGTTCGGCCACTGAGGGAGAGGGGGTGGCAGCAGGAGGACAGCTTTGGCTGTAATCTCCCTGAAGTTCCCTGGCTTCTCCCATCGCATCCTGTCAGGACCCTCTCCTAGACATTGCTGGGCGTCCTCTGCACCACCAGCACCTTTTTTTGCAAAAGCCACCACTTCCAGAGTCCCCCAGAGAGAAGGGAGAGTCGCTGGACCGGGTGGTGCAGAGAGAGGGGGCCATGGATGCTGCTTGAATGGAGCACGAGAGGAGATCCTGTCCGTTCTGCAAAGGCTGAGGGGCTGCGGGGTGTTGGTGTTGGGGGTGGAGGAGTTGCCCTTCTGGGAGGCTGTGTTCTGGTGTTCTTCTGCCTACTTGCGCCTCCCAGGACATGAAGCCCCTTGTGGGAGGCTTGGAGCAGGTCTCCCATCGAGCCGCTTCCAGCAAGAGGACCTCCTTCGGGGTGACCCCTGCATGTGGGAGCAAAAGGGGTCGGCAGCCACCAGAGGTTCTAAAGACTTGCTGGGCCTTCTTGTTGCATTGATCCGTCTTGTTTTGGCTGCTCGGTGAGTTGGTGTTCTTGGCTGGTTGGTTGCATTTGTATCTCTTCCCCCTTTCGATCCTCAGAACAACCCGGTGAGGTAGAGCAGGCAGTTTCTAGTCCAAAACACAAGCACACTGGCCATTATGGAAGTGTGTATGCGCGTGCGCGCGTGCGTATGTGCGTGTGTCTGTCTGTCACATTTTAATGTTTGTTCAGAAGATGCCCGGAGACGTCGCCTTAGAGGATGGCGCCGGGACGTTGCCCATAAATAAGTAACGCCATCCCTTTCTTGCAGGTTGGGCGCCAAACATCCTCTCACCATGCCCGAGGGGGCCTGCAGGGGCAGCACCAGGAAAGGAGGTCGAGAAGGTTAGTCCTGCACCTATCCTGCCCCCCCAAAACGCACTGCCCACCCCCACCCCCACCCGCCCAGGGGAGCACGCAGGGGGTGGTTGGTGGGAGGAATCAGCCACCAAACCTGTGCAGTCCTCTTGTGACACCCCCCCCCCCGTTGTGTGAACCCGGGGGGCTGAAGCTTTTCGCTGAAGCTTCATTTTCCTTCCCCAAGCTGACCCCCTGCCTGCAAGCTGTGAAGTTTTTGAGGGTAGGGGTGAGGAGTTGTGGGGAGGGCAGGGGGGGAGGCAGAGGAGCGTGGAGGGAAGGGGGGCCTCCGTCTTCTCTTCTGCGCTGCCTCCCCCCAGAATGCATTGCTGGAGAAACCACAGCTTCGCAAGGTGAGAAAAAAAAAGCTAGAAAAGGAGGCTGAAGAGGCAGAGAAGCGGATCTTAAGAACAGCCAGAACCAGGAGAGGGAGGCTAAATGCAGAAATGGGAGGCGGGGGCATCCACTTGTGGGGGCATCGGGGGGGGCCACGCTCCCTTGCTGGCTTTTTAAAGACAAAGGGGAAGCCACAGATGTGAGTCGGGTGATTGGAATAAGTTGGTGAATTTATTCCGTGAACTTCTTGTGTCTCTTCCACCCACCCCACCCCTCTCCTCCCCAATGGCAGCAGCACCCCGGCCCTCCTCCGTCTCCTCCCTGGGTGGCCTTGGCTCCCACATGGCGTCCAACCCCTTCTCGGGCAGCTGCACCTCCATGAACACCGTGTGTTCGGACAGTGACCGCCCTGCCAGCCTCAGCTCCTCGGCATCTTCGGCCTCCCTCCAGGACCACCAGAGCGTCTTTGGTGGCAGTGGTGGCCTGGGAGGCGGCCCCCCATCGTACACCCCCCAAAACGGCAGTGACATCAGCCTGGACCTCACGCCCGTGTCCCTCCTGGATGGGATGGGAGAAGCCCCCGGGGGCGCCGGGCGGCATCACGGCTGGTCCCCCGGCTTGGCCAGGGCCAAGGAACGGCAGGCCAAGCGCTCCCACCTGGACCGGGTGGTCCAAGAAATCCTGGAGACGGAGCAGGCGTACGTCAGGGACCTGAGGAGCATCGTGGAGGTAAGGAAGGAAGACCCTCCCCCTTCCCAACCAGGCCGGCCGGCCCATATTTTGGCTTTCCTCTAGGCCTCGCCAGCGCAGCCGCCCGGGCAAGCAGGAACCAAACCCCAGCGCCAGGTTCTAGCCCTTGCCCCACCCCTGAGCTGCCTGGATCCAGGACTCCTTCCAGGGCCTTCCTTTGGCTGCCCCTTTAAGATTCCCCCCCCCAAAAAAAACTCTAGGGGGAGCAGAGGAAGGAGCCAGGCCTAGAGAGGGGATGCTGGTGGGTCCCGCTTCGGAAGGCGCACCCGTTGCCCCACACTGAGGATGCGCTATTCCCACTGAGCACTGTTCTCCCTCCTCCCTTCCCTCCATCCGTTGGGGGTGTGTGTCCAAATGCATGTTTGCTTTTCCGTCCTAAATTCAGTGGGTGGCTCTTAGACTAAATATTTGAGAAAGAGGGAACCGGCGTTTTCTCTTGGACTCCGTTTCCTCGCTAGTGGGTTTTCTTCCTCCTGGCTGGGCAGGCCTCGGGATGGTACCTTCTCCCAAAGACAGACAGACAGGCAGAGCAGGGTGGCGTTGGCTGCCAGCAAAGGCTCTCCCTGGGGGGCTTCTGGGGGGAGACTTGAGCTGTCTGTTCCCGGCAGCTGGGTCCTGGGGAAGAAGCAGCTTCAGTCTCTTCTGGCCACGTCAGGGGTAGATGGGGGGGGGACGTGTTTCCTCTTGGTGCCCTTGAGTTTAAAACAGTCTCCACAACGCATGGCAGGCAGCCAGAAAAGCAGCCTCCCTCGGTTTAGTGCCCCCTCCTTCGGCTTGGAATGATGGGCCATGTAGTCCAGCACGTCTAAAGGACTAACCATGAGGGAGAAATGCCTCAGGGTTGCCATGTGTGTGTCAGTCTTGGTGTGAGGGCATTTCCTCTCTGAGCAGAGCGGAGAGGCACAGCCCAGCAGAGGGCAGAACCAGGGGTGGACCACGTGGGGGGGGGAGGGCTCCCAGGCTTCCCCAGCCAGCAGCAGCCCCACAGCCTGAGGAAATCGGGAGGGGGGGAGCTCCCGCCCAGGAAATCCACAGAGTGATTTGGAAGCCATCCATCATCCACAGCAGCAGCCCCTGGACTGCAGGCTTAGCAGCAGCGGGCACACCAACCCTGTCAGGTCACCTTCTTCTCTCCCCCCCCAACACACTAGAATTTTGTCTGTTGTTGCTCTGGGACAGAGAGAGAGAGAGAGAGAGAGAGAGAGATTTCATCTCTTCTCTCCTGAGCTTTGAGTTTCCCCTCCAGCCATCTCAGAAGAGACCAAAGCATTCCAGAAATCCAAACAGCCAAGAAGATACTGGAAGCAAGAATGTGTTACAGCCCTTTCTTGGAATGGAAAGCTCTCCCTAATAATGCCGGGGTGATAGGAGGATATCTGTCTGAATGCCTGCCCAGTGAATCGAAGGAGAGATTCACTGTATTAACAAACATATTTTTAATTTTGCATCTGTGCATATAAATATGCACCTAGAATTGTACACCACTAGGCATCCTCTTCCATGTCCTTTCTGAAGATGCTTAAGCTTCTCTGTCTCAATTAGCAGCTGGATTCGTAAACAGAACCGGAAGTCCCCCTGTAGCCCTTGGAAGGCTCCCCGGTGCTCCTGGGCGTAGGAGGGACGGCAAGCGCCCTCAGATTCCGAGGCAGCTGGAATGTGGGCAGCGCTTGACTCTGCAGGAGAGAGGAGAGCATCCAGCACAGCCCGGGGCCCTTTCCTTCCTTCCTTCCTTCCTTCCTTCCTTCCTTCCTTCCTTCCTTCCTTCCTTCCACT